TACAGATGAAATAGGGAAAGACAATATTGTGTATGGGCTGAATGCTGCCAGCGAAACTGTGGAAGAATCAACTTCAGATGAAGGGTGGCAAGAGGCATACTCAAAGGGGAGATCGGGAAATGCTGTTGCCCGCAAATTCAGAAAAAGACAGCCTGTTTCTATGAAACTGGGAGCACAACCTCATTTTATTGGGAGACAGGATGTCCAACAGCAGGGAAAGACAATATTGTGTATGGGCTGAATGCTGCCAGCGAAACTGTGGAAGAATCAACTTCAGATGAAGGGTGGCAAGAGGCATACTCAAAGGGGAGATCGGGAAATGCTGTTGCCCGCAAATTCAGAAAAAGACAGCCTGTTTCTATGAAACTGGGAGCACAACCTCATTTTATTGGGAGACAGGATGTCCAACAGCAGTGTATTGTCTCACCCCTGCGGAAACCAACTCTCAGATCTTCCATCTCTCAGTTCTCTTCTCCAAAGGCGGGGAAAGTTCAGGAGGTCAATGTTGAGAAAAGTTCAATGAAGCCAGAGGTAACGGCTTCTGATTATAGATTCTCCCTCAGCACTGCTGCTTCTACCAATAATACTACCATGGCCTCAAAGTCTCTATCATACAAAGAGGTTGCTGTGGCACCACCAGGTACAGTTTTAAAGCCAATGTTAGAAAAATTAGAACTGAATGAGGAAGGAACTGAAACTCAGATATCCAGGATGCAAAGCGAATCAACAGGAGAGGAAAGCAAGGTTGACACTGTAGTAGTAGAGATAGCCTGTGAAACACGAGAACCTCAAGGAAGCGTTGACTCAGCAGATAAATCTACGTCAGAGTCTGAAGGGGATATCGGGTCATGTAGTCAGGAAAGGGCATCTGGAATTAGCGGTGGCAGGAGCAAGCTATCGGCTAAGGCGGAGCCTTACAAACCCGGAGGTCTCCACAAGGTTCATTCCCCTCCTAACTCGGAAATGGCGACGAGCCTTTATGACATCCATCTCGCCCAAAGCATACTTGCAGAACCAGTGGAACCTCTGTATTACAGTGCAACTCACTCTTCCAATGGGAAGCATAGATTTGTGAAGTACACTGACTCGAATGGAATGGAGCTGCCAAGGACCATGAACCCACATGCACCAGAATTTGTCCCAAAGAGATCTCTGCAGTCTAACCCTCAACACGCAGAAAACGAAAAACGCGAAAACGCAGGGAGCGAGAGGAAGAGGGTTGCAACAGAGTCTGAGAAGAGAGAGATTGCTAAGCAGATACTACTTAGCTTCATAGTAAAGTCGACCCAGAAGGACGTTGTGGCTTCGTCCAGGAAGTTTCAGAGTAAGGAAAAGAACCTTAACAAGAACTCGGAAGATTCTTCAACTTCAGGAGGAAATGACAGTTCTGTAATGGAGATTGTCCACAGAAGAGAAGAGGAGTCTGATGAGAACAGGAAGCAGAAGGGAGGAGGAGGAGGCGATGGGTTTGTGGTCGTGGAAAGGCGGAGGAAGAACAAGCAGAGACTTGCAACAAATGCAAACGACGTGGCTGGCCTCTTCCATCAGCCCTCCCCTGTTTGTATATGATCCCCTTTTTTTTCTATTAAAACCCGCTTGAGATTTCGTCGAGGTTATTTATTATATTGTCTTTTCAGTTGAACGTGGAGCGTCCCATCCATGTACATGTGTGGTATGTCTCTGTCCAAAATATTTTCATAGTTGAATAAAAATGGTTGAGATTGAAAAGGGAGGAAACAAACAAGGGCAGATTATGGGCTCAACAAAAGCCCAATGCGATCGATTTAGTGGATGTCTTAATTGTTTAGTTCTCACCGTTTCACGTCGGAGTCTCTTTTACAACCTTTGAGACGGAATTCTACGACGTAACGTTCACGGCGGAACAGCTGAAGAATCGCCCGAGTCTTCCGGATGCAGCGGCGGATCCGTAAAGATCGATTTGCTCGGTATGAAATATCCCACTCTCACCAATGGCGCGTGGACGCCACCGCCCTAAATTCCCCGCCCTATAGTCCACCGATTTTGCTTGTTTTTCTAAATTCCCGGATCGAGGCGCGTGGGGGACTGTTCTGTCGCTGCTTTATCTTTAGTTTACCAATTATTTTTTGCTTTTTTTTTTATTTTCTTGCTTGGCATATTTTTTTTCCAAATATTTAGCCTAAGTAAAATATCTAGTTTATATATTGTTTAAATATTTTCGAAGTATCTAAAATGGTATCTCAATATGGCATAAAATCAGTGTTACGTTAGTTCCATTCATTAACGATTCCAACTTGAAGCATGCATGCATACATACATACATATTCTTAAACAATGACACGGGAAAGGACGGACCCACATGTATTGGTGTGGGTCCCATACCCCATATATTTAGTTAAAATAATTTATTTACCTATAATTGTTATAAAATCTTGATTAAAAATAGTAAAGACACCCATTTAATTTTTTGTTTTGCCCCCTTTCCTCTCATTTTTTTTTTATTTTTTTTTTTATTTTTTTTTAAATATTAGTTCTTGTTACACTTTTTTCTTAATCTTTATTTTCATCTACTTTTTGCTTTTTTCTCTTTCAATTTTCTACAAAAATTTACAAATCTAATATTAAACACAATACAAAAACTAAATAAAAATTAAATTAAAAAATACATAAAAGTTATATTTTTTATCTATTTTGTTTTATAGAAAATTATATATTTTAGACAATCATAAATAAAATTATTATAGATAAATTTTAAAAAATAAAAATCATAGAATTTAGTAGTAAAATATAAATCTTATTTTGACAATATATTTTATTATTTTTATATATTGTTTATATAATACTTTAGAATAAATATTTTGGTACGATTTTTCAAAGTCGTACCGTACAAAACCGAACAATACGGTATTTTTTTTAATCCGAACGATATTCATACGGAAGTGAGTTCACAATGTACCGTTTCCTGCTG